CTGTTTTATACCAGCTTTCAAGAAGTGAAATTCACTCAAAAAACGGTAGCAAAAGGCGCTATCGTAGCTTCCACTAGCTCATGGCAAATTTTGAAATTTTTTAAATTTAAATTTCCGACTGAAAATCTGAGTAACGGAGACTTTCTATGAGAAAAGCAGATTGTTGTAGATGCAAGCGGTGCATAAATACGGACGGCGCCCGAGGAATCGCATCGGAACAGTGTAAGCGTTCAAGCAAACCACTTCTGATGATTCAAACCACTCGTGCTTGCGAAACGTCAGTAAGAAATTCGACCGAACGACGGCCTAAAAACCCGTAAAACCCAGTAGTTTCAAGGAATGGCCTCGAAAATCTATCACTTTTGATAATGGTTGAGTCATCTTTTTTTCATCCTGCCATGCCAACCCCATCTTAAAAAAAACATTTTTATGCACCTGAGGGAACAGATTTCTATCTCTTTATCTAGCCAAATGGCATTGGATAAAACGGATGATTGTTTTGGATTCAAACCAGACTTCCAATTTGGTTTAGACTGAAAACGACTGTATGATAATCGAAGATCGAACCGGCTTTGCCTTGTTTTTTTTTCGAGAAGTTTAAAATAGCTGGACGCATCCAATCAGTTAAATTGGTGTTTTCTGCATTTCCTCCGAAGAATTTGCTTTTGATAATTACTATTCATTCAAATGTTTTAAATAGAAAAACTGAATAATTTTTGTAATGACAACCAGTTTCTACCTCGGAAATATTTGGGCAAATTTGAACAGATATTTACTCAAATAAATAAGGAAAATTAACTCCAAACCTGCATTTCACGTCCTCTGAACAAACTAATGAAGTATGTATTAAACCTCAAAAAATTATGCTGATTATGTTTTTAACACTTTATTTGAGTAGAATGTAACATAAAAAAGTGTTGATTTTAATGAAAATCGGTAGAAACTACGCTATTATTGCATTTTTCGTTATATTTTAGCTCAGCTCTCATAAGAAAGAGATTGTACAAAGTTGCCAAACTTTTGCTCAAACCTCAGCTGAAAGAACTAACGTTTTCCAACACACAGTTTGTCCATGTAAAAAGTCATGTCATGGAAAAATCAACACTTTTTTGTTGAAAATTTACGGAAATTTTCTTAATTTTCGCTTTTATTTTTTTTCAAAGCTTATACTTTTTATTGAAAAACCCACTTCTTTGCGAAATGTCCTGCCTATTGAAAAATTGGGTAATGCAAAATTTTCAAAACACTTGCTTAAACCGCCTTGAAGAAAATGTGAAGTGAGTCAAACCGAAGCCAGCAATTTACTGGACTTTGAATTTTATTTTTTTATGAACACCAATGTTTTCTATAAAAGAGAGTGCCTTGTTTCAAACCTCCAGTCTAAAGGTACTCAAAAGTATTTTTTCAAAACTTTCCCTCGAACTGTTTTGGAGAAAATGTCTAGTGAGTCAAAGCGAACCGAGGTATTTACAATTTTGTTAATTTTCGGTAAATGTTGCCTCTTTAAGTCTGTGTGCGGGTCACTGTTAATTTTGGGTTTCTTCTGAAGACCATTGAATTCCATAGAAAAAGGTGATTTTCTGCAGGATTCACCAAAAGTCTTCAAGAGTGATTTTTCAAAACTGTTGCTTAAACGAGTTTGAAGAAAATGTCAAGAAAAGTGAGTCAAAGCTTCGTAAAATATTTGGTCTATCCAAGATTTTCAATTGAAAATTTTTCAAAAGTCTGCAGTTTTTTTAGTTTTCACCAGTATACTGTTTTTCTAGTGAAAATGTGAACACTTTCCGTTACAAACATACAAAGTTTGCATTTTCGCGCTTGCCTCAGCAAACATGTTTTGGAAAATGCTCATTTCTGGCATGGAGCTTCTATGTGGAAAATGTTGACACAGAAAAATCAGAAATTGAAAAACATTTTTTGGCTGAATAATTGCTTGACTTTCCTCAAAACCAAGAAAAGTTCATTTTCATAAAATATCCGGTTTATCAAACGAATATCAGGCCTAAATTTCAAAAACCCTGGCACTAACAAGTTTTATGAAAATGCTAAACTAAACAAAGTGAAACTGAAGAAATTTGTTGACAAAGCTGCTCTTGAAAATTGTAGAGACGCGAACTGAAGATAAAGTTTGGTAAACCGCTGACAAAAACATGCAGCCTTAAACAAAAAAATCGTTTATTTGCGTAAAAAGCTAATTTTCCTATCGTGTTTCTCATGTGCAAGATTGGATGTATTTAGAGCCTCCACAAAAAGGCAGACTTCATGCATATTCGACATTGCTATAGATTATAAGTTAAAAACTACTCTGAAACATGAAACGCTTCAAGTTTGCCCGAAAATATATGCCTGGATGGTGGCGACTTTTCATTAAAAATATATTCTGTCGCAATTTTTTCCAAATTGAAAGTTTGTCTATTGAATTTCTGCATGTTACCCTTTTGTTTATTATTTTAATCACCAGGAAGCTCGAAATGCCGCTTAACCCATCATGCCCTTTAACTGAACGATTGTTTTCGAAATTTAATCCCACACTTCCATTAGGGAAACTTGTAACGACTCACAGCAGTGGCCATTTGCGATTGGTCCATCATAAAGCGGATTTTCCACTTTGTAATGTCGCAACTTTCAGAAAGTTGCTCAATAAATACCTGGGCGAAATAAATGTCCCAACTTTGGGTCATTAATTTCCGTCGTGCAATCGATGCCAAGACACGGTTTCCTTTCGAACTTTTCTTTGGTGGGGTTTTTGCGCCCCGCACACAAAGAACGGGTCGAACTTTCGTAGTTGAAAACCTTCCGGCTTGCTGATAGTTGAATTTCCCAGTTTTCCTCTAGACCTTCTAATGGGGCCGCTCTCATATTTTGGTTGGCGGGTCAGAGGGATTTCGACCCTTTATATAAATTGCCCTAACCGGCAACATGTGTAGCCTAAATGTATTTGGGGCTGGAAATACAACTACAAGGTTTCGGAGAAAGTGAGTGTGAAATTTGGGTTTTTTTCTCGGGCTTGACCGAAAGTTTTCTTCATTAATTATTGCCAATGAGGCGGCGAGCGCGCTGAAAATGATGTGGCAGAATAAATTTGCATTAACTAAGCTCAAGTTGGTGCCGAAGAAACTCCAAAGTTTTCCACTGGTTTAATTTAAAAAATTTCCTGAGCGCAGCGCCATTTTCAATAGGGTAAAGCCCGTGGCCCATGCATCCGTTTGTACGATGATACGATGGTACGAAAGTGTTTCTATTGAAGAAACACTTTCGTACCATCGTATCATCGTACAAACGGATGCATGGGCCACGGGCTTTAGGCTGAAGATTTTCGGCTGCTACTTTCAGCAACACGCGATTTTATTTCGCCAACGACATGCATTCAAAGGTGGATTTTATGTCAGCACGTCGGCAGTGTTAAAAATGCCTTCACAAATGCCCCGTTTTAACCTGAAATAA